GTCTGTATATGAGGGATACTGAATACATGCAACATCCCTCACGCCCCCTAGCACCGGCTTGAGCGGTACTCAATTTTTAACACTTCAAAGTGTTGGCATCAATGATCCCGAAGGACAAGACAATTTAAAAAACACTCCATTTAGTATCACAGAGTTCGCTCGCATTTATCCATTAGATGGCCCAGTTTTATTATTTTGAAAGAATAAATAAATATTTAATAAATGAAGCCAGTTAGTCGGAATATTATCAAAAAAGTGTTTGTTCTGTATCTTGAAATCCGTTTGGATTAGATAACATGATTTGCCATGTATACAACTTTGTCAGGTTTGGTAATACCCTATTTAAACAGATCATAGGAATTCCTATGGGTACTAATTGTGCACCCCTGGTCGCCGATTTGTTTTTGTACTGCTATGAAAGAGACTTTATGTTGAGTCTCTCTGAAGAGAAACAACAAGATGTTATAGTCGCATTTAATAATACTTCCAGATACCTTGATGATATTTTTAATTTAGATAATCCTTATTTTGATCAAATGGTGTCTGACATTTATCCGCATGAACTACAACTTAATAAAACGAACTCTTGAAATTTTAGTACATCATTTTTGGATCTTCATATTACTATCAACAACAATTCTATTCACACGAAAATTTATGATAAAAGAGATGACTTTGACTTTTGTATAGTTAATTATCCACATTTGGATGGAGACGTACCCCATGCAACATCCTACGGGGTTTATGTTTCTCAGTTAATTAGATTCGCTAGAGCTTGTAACAACGTTAAGGATTTCAACGAGCGGAATATTTTTATTACCAGCAAGCTTCTAAAACAGGGCTACCGCTATCATAAATTACGGAAATATTTTACTAAATTTTACAATCGTAACTTTGATTTAATTTCTAAATTCAATAGTGACTTAAAAACTCTTCTGCGACAAGGGATTAGCCAGCCTGGTTTTTATGGCGATGTGGTTTACAAACTTCGTAAGATTTTGGGTCATGGTAATTTTTCTGCTGTTTTTACTAAAATTATTAAACGTTTTATTAAAAGAGGTTATGACCCTACTATTTTAAGACATACTGCATGTTTAGTGTTCAACCCTTTTACAGTTGGACACTACGCTTTCCTCTTTTGATTGCATCTGACGGACCAAGTGGGAGACTCTATGATGGATAGTTCGTAAAGCCCTTTGGGACTGAATTGTCTTAATGTTCGTCTTCTGCCTTGCTTCGTCGGGCCCTTGTAGGTGATTTTCTTGTTGCTCTGTCTTCCTTTAGGACATTGAGTACTTTTGTTATGGTCATTGGGTTTACTTTTATATGTTTCTACATGATCATTTTAGTGTTTTACTTATTTAACCTTTTGTAACCATGACAACTGTTAGAATTTCACTTGGCGGGGATTCATTTTATTTACACTGTCTCGTTTATAGGAACATGGTGGGGCTAAGAGCGAGGTTTGGTGCACCATTAACCGGTTTAAACTCCCCAGCAGTCATTATTATGCTGCTGACCGTTCCAAGGCGGCGCCCCACTGTGTTCCTCAGATGTATGTCTATGTTGTTTCATACTGTTTTGGTGACACTTTTGCTTGTGTCCCTTGTTGTTTTCTCGTCTACGGTAAGTATCTTCCCCATTGCCTCTAGTTTTTATTTCTTTGATTAACCCCCCCCCTTCCCCCGGTCTCCTGTCCCCTTCCCCCTTGTGGGCCTATTATTATTTTCTTTGAATTCCTAATCAGTTACAAATTATTTATCATTTAATGATTAACGTGTCGTTGCCCTGTCCTTTTTGTGTTTGGGGTCCGCCTGGGCTCCTTGCCATTGGTTCTTGTTGTTGGGTCATATGGGGGTTGCGTTCATTGAACGCCGCCTTTCCTTGTTGATCTTGTTTTTCATATTTGTCTTCCCTTCGTGTTTTCGTATTTTCGCATTTTGAGGCATACGACATTGCGTTAATCAACCACCATACTGCTGCATGCATATATCACCGTAATTGTTCCTAATTATTAAAGTTGTTCATCAGGCATCGTATTGTAGAGATAATTATTCATTGAAATCTAATGCTCTGTCTAGAAGAGCGCAAAGAGCTGTCAACAATGATGATATTCAAGTGATTTTCTCCGTGGAATATAGACCATCTTTTAAAATAGTAGACCTATATTATAAGAAACTTACACTGGTTGCGAGTACAGACGGGAATATCCGGCTTTCGGGTAACTATTCAAGACGGTAACGAGGCTCTGACTGGTTGCGAGTACAGACGGGAATATCCGGCTTTCGGGTAACTGTTTAAGGCGGTAACTGACGAGTTATTTTATTCTTCTCTAACTGAAAATTATTTCAATTTCAAACAGTAAAGAACAATTGTCTATTTAAATAAAACAGTAATGTAATGTCCAATAAAATATTTAACTTTTAAAAAATAAACGACCACTTGACCTAATTATTACACGTCGCCATTTTATCCAGTGAACATTTACCAAAAGTAACACAAACAAATCAACAGCAAAATTATCGCTTATCGAACGATTGTCAGACTTTGAAAGACATATCAGTTTTGTTTAATTCATGTTTGGATGCTGTAAAGTGATGTTAAATTTTCCACCAGTGATTGTGTCTGAAAATAAGCTGAATACACAATTTCCAGGCAGTGAAACGAAGGCGGACTGGGTTCCATTATTATTAGTGATTGTGGAGTTCGTGCACAATGTAGCTTGAGAAGTGTGTGTGTGGAAACTGTTGCTGGTGGGGCAGCCAAAAGATTTGAAATTGATTTTTGCTGTGCATTTCATAAAGAACGGTAGTTATTTAGTGAGCTAGCATTTTTGTGGCCATTCACATGGACAGCATGGGTGTCAGGAATGTCACTTTCAATGAGCTTCTGACAAAGTTGTTTCCTGACTGAAGTGTTGGTAATATTTTTCCCAAATTGGATCTCTGGGAGATCTGCCTTCACTGCCATTGTTCGCAGCAGGTTGGATAATTTGTTGCGCTCTATGGGCCCACATAAAAACTATTGGTTGTAGCCAAGTTTCCAGTTTGTCACCACTGCCAGGTAGAAGTTGAACGGATGGTCATCTCCTGAAACAGAAAGTATTAATGATTATGTAAGTTAAAATTTAAATTTTTTTAAAAGGTTTATATGTAAATTTTAAAAAGGTACTTTACAGTACTTAAATTTTGCAATAATAAATTAGTAGTTTTACTCCCCCCACTTGAAACAGGTAAGAGAGTGGGGACAAGGGTGCCTAAACCATTAGTATTTATACCGGTACAAGTCAACCCGGCCCCAAATTGGTCAAACCGGCCCAAACCAATGTTATTTCTGATCAACACGGCCCCATTTTTTTATTATTTATTTTGCTTTAAAATATAAACACTTATCAAGAAATAAAATAAAAATTAACAACAAAAGTTTTACGAATGTGACTGATTTACTATAGAACAAAGAATACGAAAATTCACCGGGCTGAGACCATAATCAGCGCAATTAATTTTACTGACACTTTTATGCCAGCTCATGTTTTTTTACTATTGTTCTACAGTTAATAATCTTAAATTAATAATAAATCATTTTTATTCCATCATACACAACAAAATTACTTAAATAGTTTTCTTTGAAAAATATATATTTTGGGGCCGCACTGACCAATTTTGGGGCCGCATTGACCAAACAAAATACTGTGGGGCCGGATTGACCAATTTTGGGGCCGGATTAATCAATTTTGAGGACGGGTTGACTTGGGGCCGTGTTAACTTGGGGCCAGGTTGACTGTAATTCGTTTATACTATATAACATTTTTCTACTCGTCCTGCATTGGGTTCTCTTTAATTGTACTTGTAATTACTCGCAGACAAGTTTGAAATTGAAATTACCAGGCAAAATTGGTAATTGTGTTCCATCGCAATGATAATTGAATGGTTTTGTTTTAAAAATAAATGCAGTGATATCAACTTTGTGGGTATACTGTATTATATGCTTAAAAAATGTACAAATTCTTTTTTTATCACCATTTTCAGACATGGTCCGTCCCCGAAATAGGGAATTTTACACATATTTCGATGAGATATGCAAAGAAAAATAATGTGTTACTTACAGTAAAACAAAACAAAATCAAATACTTGGTTCATTTAACCATATTTTAAATAATTTCAGTCATATAGACATAATTGAAATGAAAGGTAACAGTTTGCTACTGTATAGAATAGTGTAGTTTAATTGTCAGAAAATAACATTAATTTTTTAATATAACTTCGCATTTGAAAGACGATCTTTCTACATGCGTGATGTATTTTAAGATATTCAAATAAGTATGTTTACAGACTTACAGTATAAAACTTCCGAAAGTTGTATTAAAGTTCAAAGTTTAGGTTAAAATTATTCTAAGTTCAAATCATAGTCACTGCAGCTTAGAAAGGCTCCCATAGATTTTACTTCAAAAAGTAAATACTATAAAATAATTCACTTATTTACTAGAGCTGTCATCAATAGAAATGATACCAATGTATGGTCAATAAAGATTCGTTTTTTTTCTGTCAATTCATATTAGGTGGTATACATGTACATTTGAAATATACTGAACATTCAAGTGAATATATCAATTTGATATGCCATTATTAGCTGAATTTGAGTGAAACGCTTATCATTTTTGGGTTATTTTTCACAATAAAAATTACATTTCTGGAAGGGGAATGAGCTAAATATTTGCGTATTAGTTATTTGATAAGTACACATATCTTGGAATTTTTGTTAGTCCCTTCTTATCTCAAAACCTCAGTGGAGTCCCTTTAATGTATGCTTTTACCAAACTGGAAAAGGGAAATTCCACTGTTCAAATACAGTATGTGTATAAATTTGTTATGTAAACCAGTGTTCTTCCAAAATAATTTCAAATTTGAAACTATTTTGCTGAGCACTGCTCTTTTGACTGAACATGGGTCAATAGATAAATACATAAAAATACGTTTTATGATCCAAATAATTTTATACATTTTGTATTATATTAAAATACTCATAAAAACAGAATAAATTTGTTAAGATTTATTTTAAATATTTATTAGAACTGATCATTTGAATCAATGTTATGAACATATAGAATTACCAGAGAAATCATTAGGTCTCTTATCACTATATATTTTGTATGTTGTTACAGGACATCTGTCACACCCAGTAGCTTACATCCTGGGTCTCTGCTTGCGGATATTTGATAGTATTCATGTCTATAAGAAAGTAAGAGTAAATATTACTTTTTCGTTCTTTTTAGTATTAAGAAAACTAATATTTGCAAAAAAAGAACCAAACACCAGCTGATCGGTTAGAAATCTTTATAACATATTTTGTAATAGAAGGAGAAACAATGGTTATTGTGCTTGCCTATATTCTGTTCCTTCACCTCTTATGCCAAAGTGCAAGTCCACAGTGTATTTATTAGTGAATATGGACAGTGATTCCCAAATTGTCCCGTCTCATACAGTCTTTCAAGTTCATCATCACTTAATGAGTCGGCAGCATTATCTTTGTTACCTTTCCCTTTCCTTTTTCAAGTCTTTTCCCTTACTTCTTATAGTTTCCATTGTCAGTAGAAACTCTTTTCCCCTGACAACAGAAGTCCCATAATGATGTTATTGTAAATGTCTATAAGAAAAAGGTTATTTGATAAGATAATTAGGTAATTTTTGTTACTTATTTCTTTTTAACTCACCTATGCAATTTGATTTGGTCTACTACTAAAGCAGCAATTCATGCTAATTTTCATGGAAATTTTGAAAATGTGTTAAAATTATTAATTAGTGAAATAACCCTAAAGAAGCAATTTATACATTATCAATGGCACTTATAGCCCACGTAAATTACTAAAAAGACGACAAAATATGCAAAAATAGCCCTTACTGCATTAGTAGCACATGTAGAAATAAAGTTATAAATTCTGAAAAATCAGTCATTAATCACACATATTAACATGGAAATAATAACTTGAATCTTGAATATTTTTTACTTTTCTCAAATCTTAGTACATTCTTTTCAAGTTTGATTTTATTGAAATATTTTTGCTCATGAGGAAGCGTGTAGCTTAAATTAATAATCACATTAATTACATGCTCTATATTAAACTACACGTGTTAATTGTAATTGTAAATTGAAAATAGGGCAGATAGGTTGATTTGGATGATTACTACGCCAAGTTTTAATATGGGTCATTTGGGGTCAAAAGGAAGTCACACAGCTCAAATGTAGAAAAACTTTATCACTCAAAGCAACTGTTTAGTCTGAATGTCCTGGAAATTGGACAGAAAGGTTGTTTAGATGATTTCTTGCTCAAGTTTGAATATTGTTTATTTTGGCATAAAACAAAGTCGCACAGCCAAAATGAAAAACCTTGTTTACTTTTTACAGGCTACTGTCCTGATATACTAGTTATATATGTTGTTTAGGTTATTTCTAGGTCGAGTTTAAATATAACTCATCTGGTGTTAAAAACTAGGTCAAAAGGCTCAAGTATGGGAAAAACATTGCCATCACTTAACATGCAGCTAATTGTATATCTACATGTATGTACTACTCTAGAAGCTACTTCCTTGAAATTGGTTATAAATGGGTGATCTTGTTCAAATTCATACTATTTCAGGTGCAGATAACCATAAATGCACTTTTCATATTTTTCTTTTAATTTTTACAGCAGAAGAGCACAGCTTGTGGCGGAAATAAAGATACAATGTACCAACCTGTCAAGACTACCAATCATGCCTCTTATTGTGGTTGACTCATATTCGTCACCATTCTTCTGCCGGACTCTTATAATGAACTCCTGAAGATAATTATCTAATTCAGTTGGTGGAATTTGTTAAACTTGCCTGTTTTTACCTTTGGAACTAAGAAATGACTGCACTAGTGCAACATTAGAGCGAGTTTTCATTTCAGTTCTCTTATTCTTTTGCAAATCTCTAAATGACTTGGCATCAACATTAAGAGGTGCAAATCTATTTTCCTTGTCACATGGTAATTGAACAGGAAGATTCATACCGTTTGTTGGAGGTTTTTCATACGTTGAATTATTTTCTGGATAGAGAGGTTTACAGACAGATGAAATGTTAGTTGTAGGAATTACAGAATCTAATATTGGAATGTTTTCATATGAAATGGAAGAACATGCATTTGGTGTAGCTAACAGTGAAAAGTTTAGGAACTCTCAATCTCATCAAGGATATAACAATCATAAAGGTCTTGAAAGTCAAAATCTGGAATTCCTTTTACAAGTTCGTGTTTAGCAGCAGCTTTGATATCACCTGAGAAAAACATGTGAACTTTGTACATGCTTTAAGTTCCTAAAGGTTTAATTATGTCAATGATATTTCCTTTTTCCCCATTTGACCAAACTTGAACTGTGTCTCCAATATTGAAATATTTCATTGATGATGACATGTTTGTAAACATTCATTTGTTTGTAAACAATGAAACGCTACTGTTCCGGAAATGATGTTAAATAAGTAAACAATTATTATTTACTTTTAAGTAATTTATTTCGTTTTGAACTTTTATTGGAATAAAACAAGAAAACAAACAAATAATCATGTTTCTATTCTTTATTATTTAATATAAATATGTTCTTGTGTGTACGTGATATTTGCAATTGAAAGTAGTCCCGAAAGTAGTCTGAAATGACGTCATTTAAAGCACGAGACTTGTCTTACATGGGGGTGTAAGACAGGGTTTTCTAGCACCGGTGAAAACGGTAAATCTAAATGATTATTGAGATATAAAAATAGTTGTCTTGAAATTTGTATCTCCATAATTTGTGAATGAAATATATCATAACATTCAATATTAACAGCTAAATGAATATTCAAATTGAAATTCATAAACACTAGTGGACACATCTTTTCTGAAAAATAAAGAATTCCGGGAAAAGATTAGACAAATCGAAAGTCTTAAATCTGTCAAGCATCTTCGTTTGATCCTTGTTTACTTAATTTACTCCCCTGTCACTTAAGTTGATGATTGCTGGATTAAATTCTTTTCATTTCTAATAACTTTTAAAAGGAAACAATCACAAAACAATTTTCTTCTCAAATTGTAATGTTAAATGATATAATAAGTTATACTCTGACGCACTCTCGTTGCCAATTTAGGGTCCATCGCACTTTGGGGACCGACCCCAAAGTGCGTTACGCATTTTGGGGTCCAATTTTGACCACATAGTGCGTTAAACAGGTACATATGCATTTTGTTTACATCAGACAAACGACCGCACTTTGGGGTCATAAAATTCAATCAATAAAAATGAATTTTTATGATGTTTTAAATAAAATATTGTAGTCAAGGCCAATGGTAAACAAAAATCAAGGTATTAAATACTAGTAGACGCAAAGCAATTTGCACTGAATTATAGTAAAATCAATAGGGATTTTAAATGATCTTTATCAGTTAGTTAAGAACTAACATCAAATAAAGAATTTGTATCAATTAATAAGCTCTCACATTTTTTCCATTTACTTAAAAAAATGTACACCTTTCTCTAAATTCGTTGTTTTAGCTAATTGCATCATTTTCCCGTTTTTTATTTACTGATTTTATAGAAATATGATAGTCTTAGCATATACAAATCTTAATTAGAGATTTCAGTAAAAAATGTGCCTGATACAATGTTGAAAGGGCAATTTATTTAGCTTATCTAAATGTGATATTTAAGAATTTTGCGGCCTTAAGTAGTAGACCGTACAGGCAGTACTCAAAACTATCATTAACAATTTAAGTAGTCACACATTAAGAGCGGGACTTCATAATAATGTAAAGTTTTCACTGGGGGATCTAGAGGGGATGGTGGGGTTTCAATCACCCCGAGATTTTAAAAATAACGTTTTAAAGGTCCATTATGCTTTTATTCGTATTTCTTAAAAGCTTTTTAATTTTGGTGTATCTCTATAGTATCAAAAGAGTAACTCATTGGCCAATTACCTGAACCTGATATTTTCGTCTGTTCCTTCTTGGCAATGAGTACAGTTATAGTGAATTAGTATTTTATATGGATGTCAAATACTACAGTGTTTACATTTTGCTGCTTTTATTACACATTATTTCAAATTGATCGCTACTTTATTCAGGTAACAAGCATTTTATTTTTCTCTGATGTCATTATTTGAACATTATAAAGTTCATGTTTGCCCTTTCTAAAGAAATATATAAGATTTTTTATTAAAGAGCCTTTGCTGAACGGTTGTTAAGGAGCTTGCAAAAAAAAACTTAAGTTTGTTGATAAGCGTAATAATGTATTTGTAAAAATCAATATTTATAGTCCGATAGACACACTTGTTATTTCACCGGAACATTGTAATAGAGTATAATTATTGTTTTTTTTTTGGAAAAAAATATTGACTGCATTTTGTTTTATCCCCATCATGTTTAAAATGGTGCTCAATAAAGCACCAACAGTTATCAAGTAAATGACTGACACAGGACATTTTTCACAGCATCTTTTAATTTTAGAAATACATTCACAATTTATGTATTAGAGTACTTTGTTACATGGACCGTTATGTGAACACAATTTTTAGATATTTCAAGTGCTAAAATTAATGAAACTTTTAGCACTTTAGCATCTAAACAAAGTATCGGCCGCCATCTTGAACTCCACTTCAAGTATATCAATGTCGCAGATCTAAAATAAGTTATTACTCAGTATTTAAGCAGAGCTCAGTTGACATCTTCAGAACTCTGGAACCCAAAGTACGTTGATATGTAGCATATTATCGCACTTTGGGGTCAATTTCTCGATTTTGACCCCAAAGTGTATTGGACCCCAAAGTGCTATGCGAAGTGTAACGCACTTTGGGACCGACTCCAAAGTGCGTTGGAACCCAAAGTGCGGTGTTACATAGCCCTCTACGATCATCTCTTATATTATAAGGTAATAATATCATTTATGTCAGGTTCGGGAATTTAATTTTGAAGCAAGTTATTGGCAACTATGGGTATAAATTGTCCACCCTAACTCGGGTGTTGTAAAAAAACAACAATTATATCCCCAATATTTATGAACATAACACAATGTCACTATAATAAAATTTACTTATCTTATCTTACCTTATCTAACTCTCACACAATATGTTACCAATCATTTAATGGTACATCTTGATATTTAAATGACATCCTAATTATTAATACTCAATATTTTGATGAAATTGATGTTAATATATATATAACCAAGTGAGCTTACATCATTTTCCTCATAATTCTCGTTTCTGTCAATAACTTTAATATTGTTCTGATATAAGTTCTTATGATTTTGTTTATCAAATAGTTAATTACTGGCTATGGTTGATACGCCCCGTCCTTTACCCCTTGTACACTCCCATGCTGCATGTCTACACGCTTGTCTTGTGAGGCTGGATGCTGGTGGTGGCTGCATTTTATAAATGTCTGTCTCCCTTGTAAGATATATAATGAAATATTTGATACATTTGAATTCATGTTCTTCTTGGCCATACAAGTTACCATTTAAATGTTCTGCAAGATACACAATCAATATAAAACGGATATCTGAACTTTGTTACACAAGTCGTTATGTTTTGTTCGAACGTTTAAACGTATTTTATAATATTTGCTAATTTAGGCGTGGAAGCACATAATATCAATTTTATTGGTTTTGGATATTAATATCGTGAATTCTTAAAGTTGAAATTGTGAATTTGTACAGATGCAATAGAAAATTAAGGAAGTTAAACTATCCAAAACATTATTTTAGAACATCCGTATTCAAGTGTGTGTTTTGTTAACAAGTCAATAAACATGGAGTTTTCAGTTTATTTTAATATGATAGTGACATTTATTTCATTTTGGTGTGAGAATATTTTGTTTTACTTTTCCATGATAACATTCATTCGTAAAACATATATAAATGCATTAAACAACATATATTAAGTTTTTATTTTGTTAAACTTTAAAGCGTCAGACGGTTGTTATGAATCATATGTAACAATAAAACCTCACATAATCTAGAAATGACAATACTTAGAAAAGAAGTGTAATTTTATTTTGTTCTCTAGTTATATGTTATAGTAGATGGAAAAGTAAAACTTTAAGAAACACATAAGTAATTTAGTTTGAGGCGGAAGTACAAATTTAAATCACTTTTCTAAAAATCAAATGATAAATAACCGTCATTTCTTTACAGAATTCATATTTAATTTCACGAAGTTCTTTCTTAAATGGGCAGGGTAAATATAAGTAATTGCAGACATACTGCGAAAAATCATATTAAAGCACCATTACATTCCTAATGATGATTAAATATTGCCTTGCTATTTTAAAGAGAATAAAGCTTTTGAATTCCAAACAACTTGTAAGCGGTATAAACATAGGAAAATTCTGACAGTTTTCAGACTTATTCTTTGGTTTGTTTGTTTTATACATTGATATTTTATGTTGGTCGTAAAATATGACTAAGTTAATAACTTGATAAATAAGACATATTTAACATAGAGTCGACATTGTGTATTCGATTTGTTTAGTGGCCGCGGTAGTTTGAACTAATGCATGACGTGGCAAAATTTAAATGTTTTAATGGTACTTAAAAATATCATAAAGTTTTACAACATCAAAAATTTATATTTTTAGTCAGATAATGATGTACAGGTGAAGGCTAAGACTTGTTTAACAGAAGAACTGGCAAGCTGTAAGTGAATAGATAAAAACGGAAGCAATAAATAAAAAGGCTTTTTTGTTTAAAAAAAACAAACAAGTTTACCAAAACCAATTTTCTGTAAAGCCCCTATAGACGGATAGAAGGTACACCAATAGTGTACTTCATACACACTTTTCAATGTTAGAAGACCATTGACTTATAATTATCCTTTGATAGTCCGTCATCAAAACAAATATACACAACATGTAACCTATCAAGTAAAATTAAAAGTGCTTCAGTTTATTTTAGTTCGATTGTGTCGGAAGCTATACGGTTATTGGAATCTGGGAAGTGTGAAC